ATTTGTCTTTATGTCGACGACATGTTGATTTTTGGTACGAACATGCTTGGAATTTCTGAAACTAAGAAGTATCTAACTTCAGTCTTTAAAATGAAAGATTTGAATGAAGTAGATACTATCTTAGGTATCAAGGTTCAAAGAAGTGATAAGAGAGTAATTTTATCACAGACTCATTACATTGATAAGGTTCTTACCAAGTTCAGTCATCTGGGCATAGTGGAGTCTAAAACTCCATATGATTCACGCATCAAACTTACTGAAAATACTAGAAGAACAGTTGCTCAATTAGAGTATGCAAGTGCAATTGGCAGTTTGATGTATGCTATGCACTACACTAGGCCTGACATAGCATTTGTCGTTTGTAAACTTTCTAGGTTTACAAGCAATCCAAGTAATACTCACTGGAAAGCTATAATTAGAATACTTGGATATTTAAAGAGAACAAAACAACTGGGCATTTGTTATAATGGGTTTCCTACCGTATTAGAAGGATATTCTGATGCGAGTTTGGTTACAAATATACATGATAGTAAGGCTACTTCACGTTGGATATTTACTTTGGGGGGTGGCGCCATTAGTTGGGCATCCAAGAAACAAACTTGTATTTCTCATTCTACTATAGAATCCGAGTTTATTGCATTAGCAGCTGCCGGAAAAGAAGCGGAATGGCTAAAAAATATGTTACTAGATATAAAATTGTGGCCACAACCTATGCCAGCCATTTCAATATTTTGTGATAGTGAGACTACTATGTGTGTAGCTCATAACAAAATGTATAATGGAAAATCAAGACATATAAGCTTAAGGCATGCTTATATAAGAGAATTAGTTACAAATGGAACTATAGCTATAGTGTATGTGAGATCAAACAAGAATCTGGCAGATCCACTTACAAAGGCATTAAATAGAGATGCAGTACAACAAACTAGTGAAGGAATGGAGCTAAAACTCTTAAATTAATCACAAGCGACGGGAACCCAACTTTGAGTTGGTATACAATCTAACAATATAAGTTCAATCGGTAATAACAAGTTGCTTGTGTTGATTAAGCACGAATCTTCTCAATTAGAGCCTAGATTCCTATGTACTATTTTACTGTTATGTGAGGAGTTTAGGAGTTGTTAAATATCTATAATAATAGGGGCATAATGACAAACTTCCAAGTGCATACTGTTACAAGAACGAGGGTGAATTAATTCTTAATGGAATTAGCAAATGTCTGTAGTAACAGGGACATAAAGTCTATTTCCACCTATATGAATATTGAGGTGGTGCCGCTTCTAACAAGATTTAAAGAGTTGATCTTGTAAATATTCATGAATTTGGATTAGCACATGGCCATAAAAGTGCTAAAGCATAATATTGGATTGTTTCTCCATTTAATAATATTATGTGTGTGATACTTTCGGTTTGACAAATGGAGTTGTGTTTCAAATCTTAGGATACCAATAACTTCGTCAAACTTTAAGGTAGTTACACTAATGAAAAGTTCAAATCTATATAAGATACTTTTCGATATGCATGATATTATGAGACATATTACAAACTAGTGGGGGATTGTTAGAGTAGTTTGTATTATGTGGGAGTCCCACACCGATAGCCATAAGCCATTTAGTTGGCTTTATAAAGCTTGGCCGATTAAGTCCAATAAAATGAACAATTGACATATTTAGAAGAATATGTGTATTTATATATATATTTAATTATATATCTAAATGACTTGGACTTGGACTTGGACTTGGGGCTTGGGCGCGGGCCGGGTCAGATCTTTAAATAAAGATTTTATTTGGAACAACTTTTTGTTATTTAAAATTTGAATTTAAATTTTAATTTTAATTTTAATTAACAGAAAGAATTGTGGTTGTTCGTGAAAAGGGGCGTCTCTTCAGAAAAATCTCCTTTTCTTATCTATAAATACAGAAGACGTCAGAGAAGTAGAGCATTCAATCTGCACGTATGTTTCAGGCTTTGTTGTATCCTGATGGAGAATTGCTTGTAATCCCTAAAGTATATACAGGCAATAACTCTTGAAAGATAGTGATCTTTCACGCTTCAAAGCCTTTAATTTTCTGTTACTTATCTTTATTTTCTAACAGAGAGCACTTTATCGTACTTAATAAACTTAGTCGACGTAAATTCAAATTAATTCGGAATACAAAATTGCATCCATCTAAATTCATTCCCCAAACAACGAATGAGGTTTCACAAAAAAGGGGGCAAATAAATATTTAAATTGCGTTCAATCTTTCTCCTTTTTGAATAGCCCACTAACTATATGGTCACATACCTTTCTTATGTGGTCATGTCTTTAGTCTTTGAGGCCATGCATGTTACAAATGGCCTCTAATGAACGATTGATAATTGATTTCTTTTACATATATATTAAGCATCATCTTTTTGCATGAAAATTCATATTCATCCTTATGAATGTATGGTGAGTTATTGAATCTAAGGACGTCATCAAAGGAACACTTCTTCATTAAGAAACACTTCACCTTTTGGAGTTGTGTCATGCAAAATCAAACGTGTTTACTAAAAGAATTCAAAAATAAGAAAGTAAAAACACAAAAAAGTCAAGGAAATAATATTTTATATATAACATTTTGTATAGTGTAATTTTCGGACGAAAAGATGAATCCCTATGTCCCTAGCTACAGGGGCAAAGCTAGTGTATTGATTACGGGTTCGGCGAAATTTAGCACCTTTGGTTCAAAGTTTGTATTTGCTTTAATAATGCACTTAATATGCGTAAATAATTTATCGAGAATCCAGTAAGTCGTCTTTTCTAAAATTCAGAACCCATAAAAATCAAAATTTAAGCTCCAACTTTATCTAGCTACGCCATGTACCTTTTCAACAACACTTGCTTTTATTAAGCTTTTAAAAGAGCTTGATGCATCTCACCACAAACAAATGACTTTGTACATTTTTGCCAATGTATGCTATGGTACATATTGTTGATTTGTTGTGACTCGAATATTAGCTGTGGATTCGGACAAATTTTATAGATTTTCTTAGATTCTTTATTGGTATTAGGAATTTCATTAAATATGTATAAATATTTAATTATAAACCAGTAATTAACACGCTATGGATTCGATGGCAGTTCAAAAACTCATAAAATTTAAATCCTGATTCCGCCTTTGTATATCGTGCTAAGTTGATATCCCCTATCATAACTAAAGAATAATAGTTATTAAAATAGTACTCTGCGACAGCTACTTTAAAATTCTGAATCAGCTACTATCAAACTTTCCACCTTTATTTATTATCCTCATACAAAAGAACTTTTATTGCTGTGATCCGATAATATGATTTGGTGGCACAGAAAGAAACAAAGTGAAGAGAAAATGCCAGAATATTTGAAGAAAACATTCCTCTTTTTCTCCTTTAATTTCCTGTGATTTGTGACTATAAAAAATATAAGTTATTACGAGAATGCATGAGAGCCATGCAGATAACGAATTAGATTCCTAGGCTACGTTTCCGAACGAATAATAGGACACGTTATGAATATTATGGGCAGACAACCTTGTCTTGAACTAGGGGCTTTCTCTTTTGTTTGGTTGCGTTTGTGCTTATAGTTAATTTGGAATAGTTTTTGAGATGTGATTTCTGCTTCTTTTTTTTGGTATTTGATATTTGGTGCAGTTTTTGGTATTTGCGATTTTTAGTATCTGATGAAACTTTTCTGGTGTTCCTATTAGAAGCTTTTTTTCAAAGTACCATTAAATCTAACAACCAACAGTTTGTTATATATATTGGATGCAGGCTAAAAATGCTCACCTTTCAAAACTACTCAGGAATATAGTTAGGGGTCATTTAGTATGTAGGATAAGGGATAATAACCCCGCAATTAGATACGAAATTATTTTATCTAGCGTTTGATTGAATTTTTGAATTCGGGATAAATTAATCCCATATTGGGTATTATTCTATCCCACATTGGGTGAAATAATAATTTCGGGATTAATTAACCTCGAAATAAATACTAAAATGATAAAGATGCACTTCACCCAACGTTCTTCCCCCAAAGTCTTTTAAGCAATCAAAGGTTAAAATTGAAAATAAGAGGTTATTTCAACTTATCTAGTATATACCAAACACATATTTTTTATTACACCCCGTATATCTCATTTTTAGTCCAATGAACTAAACATCTTCCAATAAAAATATATTCACTAAATAATCCCGTTATTATTTAATTAACATATTATAATCCCATCATTAAAATCTCGGGGTAACTTTTTCCCCAACCAAACAACCTCCTTTAGCTATAATTTTAAGCCTGCCCCAAACATAAGGAACAATTTTTCATTTTCTCGCACTTTAATGCTACCACTGAACATTTATCAAGACGGCCCCTGCATGTTTTCACTGCTCAGTGCTCAAAACATAATTTGAACTAACAGAGAATAATATGAAAGAATACCTATAGTAATATGCCTTGGGAGATGCACATTGCACGAGTCAACACCAATTGTAACAAGCCAAAGTCTCCATTCTAAGGCTAATTTGTAACATAATTCTGGTCAAAAGGAAACTGGATACAATCAAAAGGTAATTTCCTTTTGGAATGAAATTAGAAGTTCTATTGCTCTGGAAGCAGTAGGTGGACTTGGTTCCGGGAGCTCCAACAGGGGGATTTGTGTCTCAGCAAAACCTTTCTTTTTCCTTCTCTCCTTTCACTCAGCTCCCGGGCCTCAACTGAATTTGCTTCATCTTTGCTTGGTTGGGGGGCGGAAGCACTCTCGAGCAGTGTATGGACTGTGATATTTGTGGTAGTGGGGGTAGAACCCGAAAGACTGGCCAAGGTTTGTATCCTTCTAAGCCAACAAAATTTAAGGTGTAAATTCTAAGATTCTTTAAGGGAATATACGACAACATAAAAGTCTGGGGAGGGTAATGTCTTACGCGAACTTTATCCCTACCTCGTGAAAGTAGAAAGGTTGTTTCCGAAGACCCTCGACTCAATGAAAACTTCAAGGAAATATGTAAAATAGAAAAATAAAAGAGTCAGCTATTCCTCCTCTTTCTCATTGTCTAGTGATAGAAAGCTTCTCTTCTTCAAAAATACTTACATTGTACAAGGTATCATCACAAATTACACAAACTCACACTCTCTATGATACAAGAACGCCCACTAAGATTTCAGGATTATATATCTCACCAATAATATTATAGGGGACCTCAACGCCTCTTTTACCATAGACAAAAATAATACACCTAAACGAGGAAAAACATATATATCACTACCAATGGAAAAGTAAAATAAATAAAACAAAATCCAGCACTACAGACCCTTGATAACGGGGGAAGACTTTAATTCCTTCTACCTGCCTGTGGCTCAATTTACAACGGGCAATTCTATACTGCTTCCAGCAAGATTAACAGGTGCACCTAATCCGTGATATCCAATATTGCTGTGTCTGAGGCCTGTCAATTCTGTCGAAGACCCCTAGGGCAGCGATGCCTCATCTCTTCAAGAAGATATCTATAACTCTGCCATTTTCGAAATGGCATCATGCTATGTACATGTAACTGGAATTTCCCGACGTTAGCATGAACCTGAAGTGTAGGGATCAATCTTCACTACTATCTAAATCCAAGCAAGAGAACCTCGATCATTGGCAGTTTGAGGACGACCTCTAGTTGGCGTAGGTGGTCTGTTAGCATTTAGTTCCTACTCGACAAATCAATGTAAAGAAGATTAACATATATCAAAGTGAATATGTCGGGAGTTAAAGCAAAAGATCTAGAAATAATGTAAACCTGCATCCAAGTGTCTTCCATACGCTCAGGTGAATTTTCAGGTGATGCTGGTGGCAGTGGGTGAATAAGTTTTGGAACCACAACAAGATCTCTACCCAATACCAAGATTGCACCAGCATTATTAGCAGTACCTGCAGTAATAAGTTTTATATAAGAGAAACCTGGAAAATATCTCATAAAGATAAAACCACTATCTAGAGTAGAAAAACCTTCCAAACATCTAAAATAAGAACATACCACAGTAATTGGTGGCTGAAAAAAGAGTAATTAAATGACCCTGAGCAAATCGTTCAAAGCCATCCATCACGCACTCGTGTGCTCGCACTATTAGTTGAAGATCATTGTTGTTGCAAAATTCCATCACACGATCAGGCTGCACAGAGGGAATGGTCGTACATGAGGGCACAGGAAATGCTAGAGAAACTACACGCAACCAAATACCTTTAGAAACAAGAAAGAAGAATAACCTATGAATAACAAAACCAGAATTCAGCAGACAACGAAATGATATTCCCGATACCTATAACAACCTTTTGGATACCAACTGACTGAACCAAAATACCATTTGAAGGACTCATGAGTGCAATTGTCTTGAAACAAAGAAATTTCACAAAAAGATAAAAATTGCTCAAATCCTTTAAGCTAAAGGGTAGAATTATCGCAAGAGGCAGGATTACAGAAGATCCTCAAAAAAAATTGCACTAAAAAAGGACGGAAAAACACAGCCTATCAACGTGACAAATAAGAATAAATGGAGGGCGGGTGGAGGCTGACTTTTTGGTTCAAATGCCAGTTCCTTCTGAACTGGGTCCTCTGTAAGTAAATACAGCTTATTCAACTGAAGAAGAATGCTTAAGTGAATCAATTTCATTAACCTGAAAGAAGATACCAAAAGACATTTACTCACCCCAAAAGTAACCAATCCAGGACCTCTTGCATTTGGTCTTAATCCTTCAACGCTATCATTTTCTGTTGGGTCAGACCTGGATACACAGATTAATGTGAGAAAATAGGAGATCGTTAAAAATTAGTGACAGAAGAAAAAGAAAAGACAGACTGACCATAACAAATCCATCAAAATAATTGACCCTGCTTCCATGGTGATAGGACGCTGTATATTCTCTATCTGTTCTACATGATTAATTGACCTTCCAATACCACCGTGCATACAGATTATTTTTTTCTCAATTAGTGCTGCCAGAGGAAGCCAATTGAACAACCTATTGATCCGATGCCAAGCCCAGATTCCATCTCTCTCACCCTGTTCCAGATATGAACATCAGTAGCTAACTCGGAAACTGAAGGAGTTTTTTCCCAGTAAATGATACCATACCATGCGTTCAATGCACTCAATTCGGAAGCCAAAAAGAGCATTAATATCTGCCGCTTCATGGTTCCCTCGAATTAAATGAACGTTGTGGGGATACTCCACCTAAAGCAACCATTTATCAGCATTAAAATCAATTGATTAATTCAAAAGTAAAAGCACAACAACATCCACATAAAACAGGTACCTTTAAAGCAAGGAGAAGAGTCATGGTCTCCAAACTGTGCTGGCCCCTATCAACATAATCTCCTAAGAAGAGATAATCGATGTACCTGATGATCATACACAAAGAAATGCAAGAATCATACAACAAAATCAGCATCGCAATAAACTTTTTTTTGAAACTGGTAACTTTTCTATATTTCATAAAATGTAGCAAAAACAGTACTTAGGTAGTACTGAAACTATATATACAAAAGACTCTATCTATGACTAACACTCTCTAAATTGAGTCTAAAACATCAATAACGGTATTAGTGTCATTGGTGTACATCTGACTACACCAAAAACTTAACAGCAAAATAAAGTTTAACTTGATCTTCTGCACTCCATTCTCCATATTCTCAAAACAACTGGAGTTTCTCTCTTTCCAAATTGTCCACCAAACACAAGCAGGTATAATTCTCCATCTAGTCCTGTCCTTTGCATGTAGTCCTGCTTCCTCCCAACTTTTAAGAGTATCTATAACTTTCCCGGGCATGGTCCAGGAGATGCCTTTGAGGTTAAGAATAATTCTCCATAGGTGATAAGTTATCTTACAATGGAGGAAGACATGGTTAACTGTTTCTGTTGTTTCCCCACACAAAAAGCATCTAGAACATAAGATGAGGCCTCTTTTCATCAGATTATCTTGTGTAAGGACAGCTTCCTTAGCCAATAGCCACACAAAGCAAGCAACTTTGTGAGGAATTTTTGTTTTCTAGATGTGTTTCCATGGCCAATCAGCTATCTGCTGGTTGGAATGATTCATCCTTTTGTAAGCTGCGTTGACCTTGAATATACCCTTACTGCTGCCTTGCCACCATAGAACATCTGTACCTTCTTGTAATCCACTAAACTGTTCTAGTACACAGAAGAAATCCACCACTCTTTGTGCTTCCCGATCATTGATATGTCTTCTAAAAATGATGTTCCATCCTTGAGGTGTCCACATCTCTGCTATAGTCCTTTGCTGATGTAGAGCCAAATTAAAGACTTCTGGAAAAGCCACATCCAATCTGCCAACTCCATGCCAATTGTCCTTCCAAAAGCTAGTCTTATCCATCAAATACTTTGATCTTGGAGTCATCCCTCAATTCACTCCACAGTGATCTAATGGATCTCCATAGACTAACCCCATATGGTGTAGTGACCTCCTTAGTCACCCATTTGTCTTCCTGTCCATATTTTGCTTTAATAATGTTTCCCCAAAGGAGCTGATCCTCCTTGTTGAGCCTCCACAACCATTTCTCTAAGAGCTTTGCTCTGGATTTTCAAGTTCTTGATCCCTAGGCCTCCAAATTTCTTGCCAACAGTAAGTGCTTTCCATTTCACCAAGTGGTAACCCTTCCTTTCTTTGTTCCCATTCCATAAAAAGTTCCTCCTGATGCTATCCAACCTATTGATGACCCCTGTTGGAATGGGGAACAAGGACATCATATATGTTGGAAGTGCATCAAGAACTGAGTTAATAAGAGTCACTCTGCCACCTAAGGATAGATATTGGGTTTTCCACCTAGCCAGTTTCTGTTCACACTTCTCTAACACATTGTTCCAGATCCCAAATGACTTAGATTTGGCTCCCAAAGGCATTCCAAGATATATTGTTGGTAAAGCCCCCACTTCACCACCCAAAATAGCAGCTAACAGGTCCATATTTGTGACTTCATTTATAGGGTACAAAAAACTCTTCTTCCAGTTGATATGCAAGCCAGAGATTCCTTCAAAAAGAACCAGAATCACCCTGAGGTGTTTCAGTTGATCTTCTTCAGCATCACAGAATATGAGTGTATCATCAGCATATTGTAAATGAGTCACTTCTAAACTATCATTGCCCCTCCTAGCTACATCAAAACCTTTTATCCACCCAAACTGATTGGCTGTTTTAACCATATTGTTGAGACCTTCCATAGCAATCACAAACAAAAAAGGTGATAAAGGATCACCTTGCCTTAGTCCCCTTTCTGCTTTGAAGAATCCTGTTGGAGAGCCATTTACCAGAACTGAAAACCTGGTTGTTGACACGCAGAATTTAATCCAGTTTATCCATTTCTGGCCAAAACCCATTTTTACTAGCATGCACAGTAGGAAATTCCAGTTGACATGGTCATAAGCCTTTTTCAATATCAAGTTTGCACAAGATACCAGGTCCACACTAACTGCACCTTTTTTTCTATAAGGTAAAATACTTAACGATTTCTGGAAACTCCCTGTATAATCAAATCACCTCATGAGTGCACCAAAAAGAAACTAGAAGACAAGAAGCTATCCCTCAAATGTACAGAATCATTCTCAACCCCCTTAAACGCTCTTCTATTTCTCTGTTCCCATGTAACCGACACAAGAGCTTGGCGGCAACACCCCAAGTTGTGGGTCTTCCATTCCTTCTTCTGAAAGCCCAACTAAATAGTGCCAACCCATAGGGGTTGTTTGGTTCAATTGTGGGATAAACAAGGATATCCATGTGCTGGGATATCCCATTGAATTAGCTATCCCACCTTCTATATGGGATAGTTAATACTATCATTATGGTATAAAATTTGTATTGGTACTAGCTAATACCCATAACCAAACATGGGATAAATACAATCCCAAATTCTATAACGGGATTAGTATCCTTATCCCGGTAACTGAACGACCCCTTACTGTATATTAACATGAAAAGAACAAATTTGACTACGATGATCAATCCAAGAATGGTAGTCCTAGTAGAACATAGAGAAACAGAACACAAAGAGGGGGAAGCAAAACTACTACTAAATTACAAGAGTCTAAGAAGGAATCTAATTACATCACAAATAGGATATGCATTTACAATGATAGGTTGATACTGACATTTTAATTTTTTTTAATATCAGCACTGACATTTCAATATCATGATAACATATAATCTCTAACTCATTGACAGAATTCAGGAGGAAAAGGTTTTTTCCATCTACAAGATAATAATTTTTTTTTTCCAATATGCTTGAAGTGGTGTCTGTTTTAGTTTTTGGACCCTCCAACTTCTATTATAGTCTTCACCCTCTATTTTTATTTGCTTTGGACTTCCCCACATATTTTGGGCCCTTATGCACCCATCTCAGATTTTACAAATCCGGCTCTTTCTCCAGATTTGAAATTTGAATTAAAGTTTGGCTATGCTGGTCCTTTATGTTGTACTTTTCTGTGCACTACCCTGTAGTATGCTCTCCGTGAGCATACCAAGATATCAGTTTTCAACATCCAAGTTGTTCCTCTGGTAATCTTCCTCGACTCTATACGTCAACACAACCCAAATAAATATTGAGTATGTCTGTCTCTAAGGAAAAAGTTAAGTGGTTGAGGCAGAAGCATAATAGCAACCTAGAGATCTTAGGTTTAAATCCCAACAATAACACTCAATAAGTTCATCTGCTCTAATCTTTAGTGGGTAGGAGTGCGTGACACCTATACTTGTGGGATGTAACAGCTTGCACCACCAAATCTTGCTTTTATTCTGACTTTTAGTCTGCAACTAGTGCATAGCTCATTCTTCTCAGTCTATATTCCTATCTCTTCCAAATACTTGTAATTTTGGCTACTACTTCAACAATATTCTCAATTAGTATGTCGTCCATAATTGTTGATTATTTGAAGGATAACGGCAGTACTCCCTCCTATTTCCTTTAGTTTCTTCAACTTTAACGTATTTTCCATACCAATAATGCCTTTTCAAGAGCTCAGGGTCGTACGGCTGTACCTTTCTCGTCACAAGGCTTTGGCTCTGCTCGTATTCTAAAAAGTTGTGTTCACAAAATCACATCAAATAGAAGGCTATATTCATCCAAAGATTCCTGCTTCTATGTTCATCTACGAATTCCACAGCTCATATTAGGCTCTTAGTTAGAAGACTATTTTGTAATCTATTTCTGATTTAAAGAATGCATCATCTTAGAGTTATATCGCTACTAAAATATAGCTTCCCTTTTGCACCCTAAGCCAAAAGAAAAACTTCTCTAGTTCACCATTTAATTCACCAGAATGTGGTGCCGTAGTTATAACTTGTGCATAACTCATTCTTCTCGAACTATTCATCCTATTTCTTCCAACTACGGTGCGGTATTTTAGGCTACCACCTTTCCCAACAAAATGTTCAATTACTCTCATCCATGTTATTGATTATTTGCATAACCATGGTACTCCTCCTATTTCCTCGACTTTCCTTCTATTTTTATGTATTTTTCACACCGATAATGCCTTTTGGCAAGCCTTTATTCATATGGCAGTACATTTCTCTTGCAAAGGTTTTGGGTCTGCCTTGTATCCAATGATTTTGTGCTCATCAAATCACAGCACATAGTAGGTTCTTTTCATCTACAGATTCCTGCTGCTATGTTCATCTAGGAACACCTGCCCATAAACTACACTTCTTCTTTATGTCATTTCATACCAAGTCACTGTTATATGTGAATTTGCTCAAGAGTCTTCCTTTCACCCAAAAATGATGTGGTCCTTTCTGGTTTTCTGCTCTGACCGCCAATTTTTCCCAACCGTAGCATTCCGATAACATATCAAGTCGTTGTACTTGTATACAAGGCTAAAGTTACTATATGATTGGATACCCAATAACTTTGATACCCCAAAAAGATCAGATAAAGCAAATTTCCACACCCATACCCAGCATGGTATATGTAAGGTTTCTCCCACCGGGGAAAACGAGAATTTGAAACTGCACTTTAAGGTGGTAAAAAAGAAATATTATGAACAAGCTTGATAACATGCAAAAAGCGGTTAAATAGATCTGCTAAGCTTATGCTTTTAGCTATTTCATTGACCTCGAAATGTTCTTGTTTGATCTGGTGCAAGTTTGTCCAGAATGCTTTGCAAGATTGGCATCCTTATTTCAAACTAATTTTTAAAGTACTTACATTTTCCTTATTAAATAAAAGTACTTCATTGGATTTCTCACTCCTCATTACATTCTTCCCCTTTTCTTTGCATGCCTTAGGAAGGTTTTTATATATCTTTTGGTAACAGATTGATAAGGTATATAATTTATTAATATAAAGGGAAATTCCCACATACAGATGTATACAAAGTAGAGGATCTCAGAAGCTCAAACAAAAAATGATTCTCTACAAATAGCAACCAATGCATGTGTTTCCTAATTACCAGCAAGCTTTTAGCAAGAGCTAATTTTAGATGACAAAAAAAAAAGGTGAGTTTCATTCATTCTCAATATTGTGTCAAGGTATACTGAGACTGTCGTTTCCCAAGTACTTTATGCATATAAAAGAGTATGCAAATTCACAGACAAGGAACCGAGCCAACCTAGGGTGTTGAAAGGGCACCCTTGGATAGAACAAGAAATATGGAGCAGGATTGAGTCAAGGCACTTACGCTATGTCCCCAGCAGTTGATGGGGAACCATACTCATCAAAAAGGCGCATGAGATCCCCAAATTGCCCGTGCAAGTCACCAAATATCTTAATAGGAGCCCTTAGCTGTAAAACACTAGGTTCACTGGAAAATATTCTTTCTGCACTATCACAGAGATCAGCTATCTCATTGCAATCCAAGAAAAATTGCCGTCTGACAGGCGGCTTCCAACCTCGAGGTTTCAAAAGATGGGCAATCACCTGAAATAAGGAAAAGAAAAATATAATAAAACCAAATAAGCAGTTGTCCTTTATAATAAAAGATATATCAGCCAAAGCTAATAACAGGATACTCGTTCAAGCAGATGGAGTGTTTTCTTTTTTCAGGTATTGACAATAGGTAACTCTGTATGTGTGAGCTTGCTCACATTGTCGTTCCCAAGCCCGGATAAAGGAGGGTCGTGGTAGGCTGGCAGCCAGCGCCCAGTGAAAAACTAACCAATTCATGATGAATCTCACAATACAGATAATACCTGGTCAGTGTGGATTCATATAGCCTACGCCAACTTATTTGGGACTGAGGATAGTTATGTGGCCAGTACTTCGGATGTAATCAAAGAGGATAGTTCCAGATGTCTTCTCTACACGTCTCTTCACATATCTCTCCCCTCTCCCCCAAAAACTTCCTCACATCCCACCTTTCTAATCCTCCTAGATCATAAAATAAAGCAGGCAAGATAAAACCTAATATTTTTTTATGTTTTCTTCACTTTAAAGTACCTTTCTCCAATTTTCCCCACTCCTCCATTCAGCTTGTTAGAGACCGGAAATTTTCCTAGAAACTCTGGTTATTACCAAAGTCCCATAATTTTTTCCCTTGATTAGATGAATAACCCGAATTTGTTTGGGTTTAAGCTTGTCAACTCTCTTCGGACTTTTCCCATCTCCCTGCTCATGCTTTCACTAAGTAGACATAGATAAAAATGTAATTTGCAATCTGATATTCCTTGCATTTCATGTGCCCAGTAAGCAACTTTCTTTTTCTTTTATCGGCATGATGATGCCCTACATTTAGCATCTCTTACCAAGCTGACTCCAAAATGTTTAGGGTGGTTAACTGATATTTCTTGGCAAAAAATAGAAAGAGAGAGTTCAAATTCTTAGTACAAAAAACCAACAAAGGCCAAAAGAGTCCCCATCATGAATGTGTAATCAAGAGTAAGACATAGGCATCCCAATGGTAGAAGGAGGACAATAAGGAGAATATTCATGGAGTTAGATTCACTATTCTAACATCTCCCCCCCCTCCCCCCCCCCCCCCCCAAAAAAAAAAAGAAAGAAAATCTTTTCTTTTTTTAGTAAATTTCCCCTTCTCCCCCTATGTATAATACACAAAAAAAAGTTAAAAAAATCCCATACAGGGGAAGAACGAACAAATACATAAAAGTTCAATTTGCTGTCCTAATTCCCAATGCATCACATCCCCAGTCTATAGAAACCCAAGTCTACATATCCAAGTCTTTGTTACTTATCTCAGTCCATCACAAGAGAGGTCCATCTTTTACTTTAAAAAGGCAGTAAGCTGAAGCAAAATCATTAACAAATACTTCATCAAAGATGAGGAGAAAGAACACTAACATTATAGCATCAGCTATGTTCGTTCGAAAAACAGAAAAGGTAGGGCAAATACAGAAGGCATATACCCAGTCCAAAATAAAAGTATTGTTTTTTTATTTTATATTTTAATAATCGTGTTCAGGCCAGCTTGCGTGCCCTCAACTAATTTCAGGATACCTGCTACCTCCCACCAGCAACCGTACCAGGTAACTCTATCCACCAAGACTTGGATAAATGGGAAGAAATCACCATGTGTTTTTTGTCTCCGCTAGGATTTGAACCTGAATCCTCATTTTCTCAACCCACTTCATTGACCACTAGGTCACACCCTTGGGTGCAAGTAAAGGCATTGGGAAACTCACGCAATTCCTTTCTAGTAAGTCTTAATTTTTTATCTCTATCCTCTATATGATGGCTGTTATGATTCTCCCGATAAAATTTTAGAGAGGAGAACAAAAGGGTCTATATATTTTTTTTTCTTCTGCTTAGAGAACCATGTAAACACTTTGAGTCCCTATCTGGCTCTTAATGTCATTTGTATACTCCTGGCTAGGCAGCCTAACTACAGAAGGAGGCGGGGGGGGGGGGGGAAGCTCAATGCACTAAGCTCCCGCTATGTGCTGGGTTTGGGAACAGTCGTACCACAATGTGGTCTATTGAACACAATCTTACCTTGCATTTTTGTAATGGGCTATCTCTAAAGCTTGAACCCGTGACCTCATGCTCACATGATAACAACTCTACCTTTGAGCCAAAGTCAACCCCCCCCCCAAAAAAAACCCCTGACACACGCATATAAGTTAAAATTTTACCAATCAGGTCTAACAAGCATCCCCTGACACCAAATGAGGATATGGTAAATAGATAGCCAAACTTGAAACAAAACATAAAGCAAACAAGTCGAGACCAAATAAAGATATCAAACAAGAAAAAAGAGGAAGAAAGAAAAGAAAAAGAAAGAGACGAGCGAAACAAAGAGGAGAGAGACTCAAACATCTTTGAGTAAATAAAATGAAGCAGCTTTTTCAACAAAGCATGCATTACTTTCACCGTAGTGTTGAAATTACTCTACAACTACAACCAATATTTGCTCTTTTTACTGCATAATAACATCAAACCATACACATGTAACTGCAGTGATGGAAACTGGAGAGTATACAAGTTTGTCAGTCAACCAGCAGACGTGTCATGGCAATGCCATAGTACTCATTGCTAATCAAGATTAGTTGAAGCACATTAGTGAAATCATCATACCTTTTTGGGAACGCTGTTGACAGACATTTGTCTATCCAAGAGTTTTCTTGCTGCTGTTGCATTTTCTGGAGTTCCATAACTTACTCGCCTGCCTTCATTTTCAAATTGATCAATTGAAAGTTGTCGCACCATACCACCTAGGGCACCCCCAGTCTCTGCAGCTACAACCACCTACAGATGCATTAAATACATTTAATCAGTTATGTACGAATTTAATCTGATCCAAAAATATGTATGTTGCTCAGACTCTCCGAAAATATCGTCGGGTGTGTGTTGGATCCTCCAAAAGTAGTGTAATTTTAGAGGATCCAACACGGGTGCGGAAGCATTTTGGAGAGTCCTTACAACATAGGAAAACATATCATAAGGCATTGGATTACTGACAGCACGGTGATGCAGCCTAACTCCAGTGGGCGTCGAATTATTTGAATCAGGTTTGATCAAGGTAGATGCCTGTTCACCACTTGGTGTTGCCTCCGCTCCGCGATCCCTATCTGGAAGTTCGACTTCCCCATTACCTTGTTGTCGAGCTTTGGCAGCCGCTAGTGCAGCAGTAATGGCCTCTGCTTCTGCTGCAGAGGCCTCCACGAGGTATTCAACACCTTTGCCGAGTTTCCTGCAAGCGAAACCGTGAGGGATGGAATTCAGAAAATAAAGATGCAATAAACGAAAAAACAGAAGCAGATATTGTTATACTTATGCAATTGCAAACTCACCGAGATCCTTGAAGCACAGCATTTTCAGTGCTTATATCAGTAAACATATCACCATTTACAGGGGGTGCAACAGGATTTCCCAATACAACTGAACCATCATTAACTGCCTCTGGAACAGTTTCCCTTGTTCTTTCATCACCATATCCGTACCTTCCGGTTATCCTTCCTTCTTGCATATTAGATGCTGCAGCTGCAGCGGCTGCGTGTGAAGCTGCACTTGTTGTTTCAGCAGCAGCCAAGTCTTCAGCGACAAGCAAGTCATCTAGCAGTACCCCTGCGACAAAAACACCAACTCAGATGCCGTCTCAGAAATACGAAAATATCACCAAGCTACACAGAGATTTCTAAAAATCACCCATTTCTTAACATCAAAAGCAAAATTGCATAAACTAGGATATTATCTGAATAACTGCTCCTAGGCACATAACTCATTACGGTACTTTGTTAGGCAAGTATATTTCATAACAATAGTTTTATATAAGTAGATGTCAAGCCTATTCAAAAAATATAAGTAGATGTCACTACAGTACTCGGAAAAATGTGACAGCTACGAGATTAGCTAAGACTCATGCATCTGGCAGTATTTTGGTACCTATAGTTTGGAACGCCTATAATTGCATAATTTGGACAGAGACTGCAACAACCCGAGAAACAATCTTAATCTGAAGTCAGCTAATTATTGCTACAGCTTCAATAATGGTCGCAGTTTCTATTACATATCCAAGACTCCAACACTTTATCAGGAGTAACGTCAATGAAAGTTTCTAAGACATGTATTCATAACAACTGCTCCTAGGCACACATTTCATTATAGTACTTTGTTAAACAAGTATATCATAATAATACTTCATATAAGTAGATGTCATTACAGAACTTGGAAAAGATGTAAGAGCTAGGAAATTAACTAAGATTTTGGCCCACTGCACTAATTAAAATCCTTCAATTGGGAGAGCTAACTACAAGGTGCAAACAAAGAGCATCCATGCTAGTTGCAATGCCCCAGGCAAAAGTTGGTCAACCAAGAAACTCTGGGCTAATCAAACCTTTTACATTGACAAGAGACATGCCTTCTTAATATTTCGGTCCTTAAAAGACGCGCAAATTGAAACACTAGTTTCTGTTGCAGACTAATATATGAGCAAACCTTTTCTAATCAATCAGATGGTCATACAATTCTACATGGTATGAGGTTGTGAGTCTGAACCTCTTTGCGACCCATTATCAAAAAGAATTTCAGAGTGCTTAGCCAAAGAAAAAGAATCAGGCCCACACGTAAGAGGGCATATTACAAACCAATATAAAAGTAAATAAAAATTGTCCTCCTAACAACTTTAGCTTTTAGTGGACACACATTTCATCAGTTTCAGTCTTCAAAATCAGCGTTTAGTATTAGTTATAACAGCATCACTAAGGCTTGCAGTCTAGGCACAAAGGCAAATTACACGATGAACCTATGAAAGACAAAGAATCCACCTATTAGAAACCATAAAAAGAGTGACTCATGGAAAACTAGTTAGTCTTGTTAGAATGTGTATCCGTTCATTAAGAAGGTTTTTAACTATTATAAGGTATATAACTGTTTGATTATCTCACTCAGCTACTCAATTGGTATAGCATAAAGTAGACAGTTTTTATCAGTAAAAGATAAGAAAAGTCGGCAGTTACCTTACAAATGTTATCCATAATCAGTGGGACTAGGGATAGATTAGAAAACAATGTACCAAGAAATATACCAGAGCTACTGCCCTCACGCATTCCAAAAACTTCCATTTTTTCTATCTTATACTTTAAGGGGTCGTTTCGTATGATGAATAAGCAAATATAATCACCACAACAACAACAACAACAACCCAGTAAATAAGCAAATATAATCCTAGGACAAAAATCTAGTACCGCATTATCCCTTGTTTAGTTACTAATCATAGGATAAGTTATCCCGGGATTAAAATATAGTACCGGAATAATTTATACCTGCCAGAGAGTGGCATAGTAATCCCAGAATAAGTTATCATAAGTTAAAGCAGTAAAATTGACAATCACATGATTAATACAACATACCAACCAGTCAATAAGAAATAAAACTAGGATAACTAATCCCGGCATAACTATCCCAGTATAACTAATTCCAACATAACTAATCCCAGCATAACTTGTCTTCAATCCAAACAACCCCTAGAAGTCTAACTAAGATCAGGATTTAGTTGGGCCACCTTATAAACACATAAACCAAACAGCACATTCTCAACAGCCCCATGGATGAAGAAAAGATATAGAACTTAGTAAGTCTCAGTTATTCTTTTTTATAAATTAAAAAAAAAAATATCTTCAGACCATATTCCAAGAAGTGAGAATAGTTGACATCTGAAGATCAAATAAGAAAGCAATCAAGATGTCTATCTTCTAGCATTACCGCCACGCAAACCACCATAGATAAATACCAAGTCACCAACAGCGGCAGCCGCATGCCTACACCGCCTGGTCAATTCAACTGCGGCATCTCCCCCCGCTGCATCTGCACTGTATCTGCCTGTTCTAGGACTGGTGACAACAGATTTTGTGTCACACCACACTCCTGCAGCAGTATCAAGAACTACCACCAGACAAAAGAAAAGAGAAAGAAATAAAGAAAGAGAAAAATGAACAATTATTAGATTAACATTAAACAAACCATGGTAACAAGAAATAAAAAAATTCAAGCAATATCAGTTGTCACCATGAGCAATTCAACAAAACAGCATTAAAAAATACCAGCTATACTGGAAGAGTCCTCCACCATGCGTCCACCACCAAGAGCACCTCCAGAAACATGGAGCCGAGCATTAACAAAAACCTAGAATACCAAAGTACGACTGATAAATACCTTAAAATTTGTGGGAGAAAATTGAGTCATCAGAACCACTTACTGCCGCATGCTGATATCTAGGAGATGGTGACACACCAGGAGCAATGGCCCATTCCCAACGCCCATCTCTATGTTTGGCCAGTCCATATGCACTTGCTAGTGGCTGTGAATCACCAAGGTAAAAGAAAATGTTAAAGTACAACCATCACACTAGACCACATACTCAAATCCAAGTCCCCAACATCCACTATACGTGTTAACTGCAGATCAGATCCAAAACCCTAAAAAAGCTTCTTAATGTTTACGATTGTTTAATTAAACTCAAAATCAGACAATTCACGTCATGTATGACAGCTGCAAATTGGTAAGCTGAACTCGGTGGTTATCTGGAGAGGGACAGTGGTGAGAGCAACATGGCAAGATGGAGCACAAGGGATCAGGGAGAGAAGACAGGAAAATAGAACTTTAGGAAGTGCAGCCATTGATAATTGTTGCTGACCTACATTAAGTAAATAAAAGTCCCCCTCTTTAACAGCTTAAACTTTAGACGACATAGTTTCCACAATTCAACGTGTTATTAGAGCATGCAAGTAGTCCTGGTTTCAAGTCTAACTTCCACTCACCAACCGAAATATTTTTTCACGTGCTTGACCCAAGGAGAAAAATTAGACCTGCACGTGAGTTGGGACAGAGAAAACTAACACGGCAATATATTGTCCACATAACTGAGGATAGTAATGAAAAACTGGGGAATGTAACCTCACTTAGGTATTTATCCATGAAGGTGACTGACAACAGCTTACAAACTTAGTAACAAAAAAGGGAATCATGTACCATCAAGAAGATGGGTTACATCTGTGCGTCAATTCTGTGCGATTTAAGAATATAGAAGAGGAATTGTATTCCTGTTCAAGTTAACATAGCCTTCTATGTCCAAAGTGAATGGTACTGATAAAAAGTTAATGAACAGATATCAACACAAGAAACATTTTTTTCTTGTTTGCAAGAAAACATGCTTCACTCACCACACTATTGGCATCCCTCCCTCCACAAAGCAGAAGAAGACCATCAGAGCGTGCACTTGCAGTTGCATACCTAGCCAAGTAACACAAGCTGTTAAGCATTTCCTTCTTTTTTTTTGAGACTGGTTTTTTTACATTCAGAGCACTTATGATAATCCACAAAGAAAATTCATTGGTTGGTCCAGATCAGGATTACAATAATTCATTTTCAGCATCGACCTTATCAGATGAAACTTATGATAATCCACAAAGAAAATTCAAATGGAAATGTTGAACTTTTAGAACCAAACACTTGAAGGGCTTTCCTCGCCAAATAGAACAATTCTGTAGGAACCTTCCTTAATGGAAAACTAATGGCCAACGTATCCAGCAGTATGTCACCAGGCCCTACAGTTAATCAAAGTCCATCTTCCAAATAAGGAAAGAACGCATTTCCCATTTGAGCATTTCTTGGCACTTAGGCAAGCATGCTACAATAAAACAGAGGCAGCTCTAACATCGTTCTTGTTAACTGTGTCAACAATTTAGTATAAAGAGTATGTTTGAAATGTATCCCTGATGTTTTTCCATATCCACAATACATGTCGTAGATTTAATTTTCCTACTTATGTTTAATCTATACTGCAGAAAAATAAGGGAAAAGATCGACCCCTTCTTGGTTCTCTAAAGTCTCTTTTTTTCCCCTACATCAATTCCTTGAAACAAAAATAAAAACATCCAGCTCACCCTCAGCCAAAGCCCCAGACCCCTCCCAAAGTAAGGGGAAGAGCAAAGAAGCTCAACACATCAGGTTTGGAGATAACAACGAATAACACATTCTAAAGAGACAACAAATAACACATCAGTTTCAGTTTTGTTAATGAAGAATTGTTGCCTCTCCAGAATGAGTAACGATCAAAAACACATTCTAGAGAGACGACAAATCTTTATTAACAACAAATCTTCATTAGTTCATAGAGTAGAAATAAGGACCCACAAAGGAAATAGAGTAATACATGCTTATAATCAAACGATCATATAGACGCACTTTGTAAGTTAAACAAACCGCCAGCGATGTTTTCCACCATTTGGCACATATACTACACTTACAAATCACTTCTTTAATTGTGGGGATTAGTTACAGTTTCATATAGACATGTAATACTGAGATTTTCCACCATCTAAAGCACAACAGAATAGAAATCATGAAATACTTGCGATGAGGCAACAAGTGAATTAGAGTGCAGTATTAAAGAGATTGAGAGAGAGAGAGAGAGAGAGAGAGCGCATGAAACTTACATGCAAGGAGGAGGACCTTCACCCTCTGGTTCCAATTTTCGCCATTCATATGGCTTTGCAGCAGTGTCCAAAGCCCAAACATCTGCTAGAGGCCGTTTTCCTGAAAATAATGGATCATGTTATGATTTTCTGACCACTATCATTGTTTACAAATGGGGAGGTCTCTTCATTAGACTAACCGTCATTTCCACCGATTGCCATGAGATATCTTTGCCCTACCAAAGCCATGACATGTCCATAACGAGGTCCTGGACCAGGTCCTTGGACCACAACCCTAAAATGAAAATAGTTATTTCAGTAGCTGTTGTAAAAGATTTTGTCAGCACTTAAATACATTTCACAGGTCAACAGCAAATACAAGTTCAATGACAACTACAACTATTTCAAGTGCTAACCTGTGCCATCGTGGTCGTTGTTGTTGTGTAAGGTCCAGAACGTGAAGATCCTCAGCTGACAAACCGGCTGGACCAATCCCACCCTAGGATGGATCAGAATAGGCATCTTAAACTTGATGGGGCAGATGGTCAAGCACAATGAAAAGCTATCAGTTAATACAAACCTGAATGACAACCATAGTTCCTACTGCTGTAGCAACATGAGCAGCCCTCGGCGTCGGGGGCTCTCCAATTGGAGTGAGCCTATAAATATCAACAAGAAACAGAACAACATTTTAACCTTTCTATGGAAGCACAAAAGTGAATGTATCAGATGCCCAACACAGAATCAAGACTTACCTAGACCATTTATTTGTCAAAACATCATAACAGTGCACATCAGCAGTAGCCCCTGCTAAGCCTGAAATCAGACAGAACGCTAAGTTGTTATGATAACTTCAAATCTACCTATTTCAGTTTTACTAGTCAATCAAGGCATGCTTCTGAACAAAACCCCCTCTACCAACTGATTATTCTAGATGAACAAGCTTCACTCTTTCTCGTGGTAAGGAGACTTAGCTCCAGAGAAGCCTCCTCTTCTTCCGTTCCATGAAGATTCTTCAAGAGAACAGCCAATAAGGGTGTGTGTTTGGCATGGCCGAAAATGCTCTTAAGAAAAAGTAGGGAAAGATTTCTTAGATGAAATCATTTATTATTGTTTGGCTACCTTGAATAGTAGAAAAAGCTTTCCCCAAGTAAAATATTTTCCATCAAAAGGGATGAAATAGCTACCATCATTTATGAACATAAGTCATTTTTCTTTACTAGTATCCCAACTCTTACCCATATCATTTTTTTCAGTCAATGCTTCGACATCATCATCAACCTTCAATAATCAGAGATATTACAGAAATGTTACAGTTAACATAGTAGTCAACCTCCAATGCTAGATACCACAAACACTATCCTCAAACCATATATTGTTTCATGTTCAATTATTCTAAAAGCATAACGTTTAAATCCCGAATCCCAAGACAAACGAGTTGTGGTAGAATCCCAAATGCAACCTTAAGACAAAGAGAATATTGAATTGTTTGACCACCTCATCTAAAAGTCACAACAATAACAACAAAATATTGCTATCTGGTGTTGTCAAAGGCGAAGCTTTAAGAAGTGCTCCAGGTCTACTGGGGCTTTAAGAGCAAAGCGCAGTTAAAGTGTGGAGGTAGATGCAAAGAGAAGAACTACAAGAAAGCAAAAGCCTAGTACTGGAAAAGCCAATCAATCACTAAGATGCTTTTCAACTAAGTTGACAGTTTTAGTAAAGAAAGGCGCAACGAAGAAAAAAAGAAAAAATACATCTGTAACGCAAAAAAAGTAACAGATTCATTTATAATATTTTACTTTAACAATTATTATATCTCTTTCCCGATTATATTTGTTGTTTAATACCGCTCGATTCAAGATAGAATGCATGGGCAACAAGACGCACGCCTTAGTGCCTCACCTACACTCAAGCGCAGCTTAAGCGAGGGAAGCGCTCCCTGAGCTTTTTTGAGCTTCATAGCTTAACTGCATCTTAAATGAGCCTTTGACAAAACTAAGTCTCAGTCCCAAACAAGTTGGGTCTGCTATATGAATCTCACTGAGCACGTTACTCCATTTTAACTTATCTCATGCCAATATTATGCAAATACAAACAAAAAGTATTAGAAGTTCTGTTCTAAAAGTCCCAACCAACTCAGGAACCAAAAAACTGAGCCTGTAATGCGCACTTAAGAGAATTCAGCATTCAATGAGGAAACATTGTTGGCTCAAACTCTATATATGGTTTAAGAAAATCACTAAATAATAATAAATAATTGATTTCAAACACACTAAATCAAATGAGTTAAATTAAAATCCCGAACTTGAACCCCATAAAGTTTAAATCTTGAATTCGACTCTTGAACCCCATAAAGTTTAAATCTTGAATTCGACTCTGCAAATAGAAATTCAGTATTCAATTGAGGAAACTTACGAATTCCAGCACTTCCAGGAGAAGAAGGAGCTGGTGCTGAAGCAGCAGAATTCCCCTCAAGCGCAGTAGCACCGCCAAATAGAATAAGCCTAGGACCAATATAATTCGAACTACCCTCCTCTCCAACTGCCGGAACCGCCGTTAGCGTGTGCCCACACCTCGGTCCGGGACCGTCTTCCTTCTTCTCCATAACAGCCTGCACTACCGTGTACGTCGGAGCACACCTCGGCCCAGCAACCGGAGCAGTAGTAACCGGAGATTCACCGGCCGGTGACGTGTCCTTAGGCTGCTCCAATGTCGGACCGCTGTTATTCGGATCCTGATCGGGTTCCGACGGCATCGAAGAATCTACGTCCATATCTGAAACCCTAAATCCGAAACTCTAAATCTGCACGAAATGAGAATTTGCAGTTCTCAATAATTTGTAATTTGAGTCAACATATTCTTCAAATTCAAATTCAATACAATTGCAATTGCAAACCCTAGTATCAGATCCTCCGATTCAAATGCCTGAAATTACAATTAAGCCCCTGGAATTCGAAAAAAAGGAAGGAGAGAGAATATTGGAGTATTGCAAGATGCTTTCTCTCTCTACCAATACATACAGTTTCTCTCTCTAGAAAAATCTTTCTCTGATTTTCGTTTCTCTCTCTCTACAGAGTGCGGGGCTGAGAATCCGATGATTATTTGACGAAATGACGGCGCTGGAATACCTGTTTTTACTTTTCAGGATACAGATAGCGATTGTGGGCGTTCGGAATAGTACAACTTTTTTTTTTTGGTTTCTGACCTGGTGTCCGGTAATGTTGGAGCCAAGTATATCCGGATTCGCACCACGTAGGACTCCATTCGGGAAAAAGCGCTCCCTAACAAGGATTCGGAATAGTACAACTATTAAAGCATGAAATGCATTACGTCGATGCACACGTCTCGCATTCAGAATTTTAATTCTATAGATTTATTTTTTAAATAAATTATGTAACAATAAAATTAGTGGACATTTGGACATAAGAATTATAAAATTTCAAGAAAAAAAATTCAAGTAAAAGTAATATTAAATTAGAGTTGTGTTTGGACGTAAATATATATTTGAGCTATTTTTTATTTTTTGTGAGTGATTTGATGTTTAAATTTTTGAAAAATAACTTTTTGAAATTTTTCAAATTTTTGAAAATTTTCAAAATTCATCTTCAAATGAAAATTGAAAATTGAGAATTTTTTGGCAAACACGATTTCAAAAAAAAAAATCAGAAAAAAGTTTTTAAAAAAATTGTGGCCAAATGGGCCGTTAATACAATTCTATTTTCGAAAAAGGGTTAGATTTTTTTTTCTACTAATCAAAACATGGATTAATTTTACAATCCGTTATAATGTCAGTTCATTAGTTCCCTTAACATTATAAAGTGGTCCAGAATTACCCTTTCAACCGTTAAACCTTCCACTATGGTCAATATTATTTCACACGGCCTTATATTTGAGTGAGATGGATATTACGTGACATGTCACCTCGTCATCCCAGCTTTATTTTGATATTGCATTTACTTCTTTTTTCCGGTCCATTGTGGATTCCTTTCTCTCCAGCTTATTAGAGTCTGAATGGCAAAAATGAAGTATCATTAAAGCTTAAAAGGAGGGTAGAGGTCAACTCAAGCCTTACATAACGACATTCAATTATTGCTTTGATTTATATCCCAAATCCAACTAATTATTTAATGTAGATAAGCAATATGCTGGAAAGTGCCATATTATTGAAGTTACAAATTAGGAAAATAGCTTAGAATTTTGGCCAAAATTCTCTCTTTATTGTACACTACAATCAAATAGTTTTATGATATGTCCTTTTACTGGGGTCAAGTTTTGGTGTCATTACTAGAGAAGGAGTTCAAACTTATATTATATTCTCTCAACTTATGTGTGTGAGAGCAAGTATATTTCTGTAGTAATATATGATATGTAAATGTTTAAATATCTTACTAGTATTGAAAAAAATTATTAAAGTATTGCAACTTAAATAAATTCTTTTTCCCGTTTGCTACGTAATTTGAGTAATCTATACTTTTTCATAGTTTTCTATTAGAATAATTTAAAGTACGGCGACAAGACCCAAAATTGTGATTTTTAATGAGTGGCCTAACAAACACATATGGCGAGAAAAAGCACTATGTATCCTCTCGTGTTACAAAACAAATAAACTTACCAATCAGTAAAAGTAAAACAAGGAATGAGATGTGAGAAGGTATAGTGCAGATCACTTTTCACTTTCTCATCAGTCTAAATTTTATCCTTAATTCTATCAGCTATGAAATCTTCCTCTGGTTCATGGGGTGACCGATGAAAGTTGGCTTTGGCTAAAATTAGTATTTCTCCATTCTAGTTTATGTAATCATATTTCTTTTAATTCAACTTCAAAAAGAAATATTCTTTTCTAAATTAAAAATAATTTAAGATTTAAAAATTTATACTTTACCCTAACGATAATTTTATAATTTCACCTTTTTCTTAAAATATTTATATTTATCCAAACACATTCACATAGAATGGAAAGTTGATTTTCTTGTGGTATCAATTTGTTAGAGTAGGAGGAGGAGTAGACGGAGTAATCCGCGACCGCAAGGGACAATGGATCTCATGATACCACATGAAAACACATGCAGTAGCACCAATACAAGTGGAATTACAAGTCCTGCAGCAAGCACTTCAAATTATAGTCAGTCAAAAGCTTGTTCCTATTGAAGTAGAGACGGATGTGTTTATCTCGAAAATATGAGTAACAATTAAACTTTATTTATGGTTTTAAAGATATGTGATTTAGTTCAATACTAATTAATAACCAAGAAAGCTAACGTATAAATGAAGGAAATAAGTAAAATCAAACCAGTGTGCAAGCCATTCTCGACCTCGAGCTGAGGTGGCATCGAGGTAGGTCAAGAACAGCAAAGTAAGAACAATAAAGTTAAAGGACAATTCCGATGAACAATGAACGAAAAAGTAAGAGAATGTATTCTTTTGCCCATCATTGATGATCGTTACAAATGATTGGGGTCCCCTTTATATAATAGGGTAACCCTAAATAAGGTACATTTCTATTTACAGTAAAGAATCTTATTGGGACAACTGTCTAACCGCCTAGTACGGATTAATACTAATTCGTACAAATCTATTCCGAAATTTATGCCATGATCTTGGGGACGTGGCAGGAATCTTGCTTATTCTGTTACAAACCCATAACGACATTATCTCGGGGTTGGTCATACTGGGCTCCGACGTTCTTCGAACACTTAGATCTTCGAACCTTATGTTCAGCCCTCGGGATCGAACTCAGTCCATAGTGAGTCTATTCCTCGACGCGAGCCTTCTGTTCCTCAATGTGAGCCTTCGAGCCCACAAAATCGGGGGCATATGATTTTATCGTATACAGATAGCCCCCGCGTTTCTTAGAGTAAAGTGATAAGAAACAATTTCAACCTCGATTTTCCGGAGTCCCTGATGATAACGTCATTCTCGTGACGTAGGCGCTCGAAGTGACAAAAACGTCCCGTTGGTTTGCTTCCCCAAAATATTAAATGCTTCTCTAGTGGTGGTCGGCCACTAGCGTCGTTGAACCGTCGCCGCTCGCCTATAAATATAAGGTTTAAATTCAGAGAAAGCTTTACTTCAATCTTCAAACCATCTGTGACGACTCAAAGGGGTCATCACCTATTTTTAATTGAATTATGTGCCTCCGAGGCCTTGAAAACCTCATTCAGAGTCGTCCCGATTTGCGTGCGCAGTCCGGGCCCATAGCTGGAAAGCTTAAATATGAAATTCTGTGAAAATGTTTAGTATTGACTTTAAAATGAGTAAATTTGACTTCGGTCAATATTTTGGGTAAACGGACCCGGACCCGTGATTCGACGGTCCCGGAGGGTCCGCAGGAAAATATGGTACTTGGGGGTATGCCCGGAATCGAATTCCGAGGTCCCAAGCCCGAGAAATGAATTTTTTAGAAAAATTATTTTCTGGAAATGTTTAAGAAAATTGGAAGTGAAATCTGATTAGAAAGCGATGGTATCGGGCCCGTATTTTGGTTCCGGCGCCCGGTACACGTCTTATATATGTTTTAAGTCCTTCCTGTGAAATTTGGTTGAAAACGGACGTCGTTTGACGTGATTCGGACCTAAATTTGCGAAAATTGATGTTTAAAGGAGTTTTGAGAAATTTCATTGATCTTGAGGTTTAATTCGATGTTCATGATGTTGTATTGGTGATTTGATCACATGAATATGTTCGTAGGATGTTTTTGAGGTCGTGTGTATACTTGGGTTGGAGTTCCGAGGGCTCGGGTGAGTTTCGAGTGGGTTCCGGGAAGCCTTAGGCTTAGAAAATCAGATGTTGCAGGTTCAGGAGTTGCAGGTCTCTGAACCCTCTAATGCGGTCCGAAAGAAATCGCGTGCGACCGCTGAGGGGCCAGCGCGGCCGGGGTCGCCTTTGTGCGGGGTGCGGTGAAGGCTGTGCGGCCGCAGTCGGCTTTGTGCGGTCCGCACAGGGTGCTGAACTGCAGGTCTTCGGGTAAGCCTGTGCGGCCGCGGTCCATTTAATGCGGTCCGCACAGGGGGTCTCAAAGGGGTATAAATAAACGGGATTTTCAGTCATTTTTCACTTTTCAAAACTCTAGAAACATAAGAGGCGATTTTTCAAACAACCTTTCTTCTCCAAAACGTTGGTAAGTGATTTCTAACTCATTTTCTTCACTCCTTAACATCTTTTAACATGGTTTCAACTTAAAATCAAAGATTTTCATGGAGGAATTGGGTGTTTTGGGTAGAACCTAGGCTTTTCAAAAATTGGGGATTTGGACCTCAATTTGAGGTCCGATTTCAAAACAAAATATATATTTGAGTTCGTAGGGGAATGGGTAATGGGTTTTGGTTCGAACCTCGGGTTTTGACCACGTGGACCCGGGGGCGATTTTTGACTTTTTGGGTAAAACTTTGGAAAACTCATTTTCATGCATTGGGGTTGATTCATTTAGCACTTATTGATGTAATTAAGTAATTTGTGATTAGATATGAGCGAATTGGCGGTGGAATCAAGGGGTAAAGCTATAATTGAGACTGGAGTTGTGTTCAAGGCATCGAGGTAAGTGTTTGGTCTAACCTTAGCTTGAGGGATTAGGAGTTGAGTCCTATTTGCTATGTGGTATTAGTCGTGTAAGACGTATAGGCATGGTGACGAGTACCTATACGTTGGTGTCTAGCATGATCGTGAGTCTTTATATTGTGAATATCTTGATTTCATTGTATTCTTCATGCTTTGGTGATGATATCTAGTTGTTGTGAAAAGTTTGTGGAAGGAATTGAGATCTTTGAACATCTTGGAGCATTGGCTCGAGTTATATTATGAATTGTGAAAGTATATGAGACGTTTGAACTCTTGGGAGCCTTGTTTCAAGTGGTAAAGCGAGTTATGAAGTAAAATTGAAAGATAGAGAAAGAGTTATTGAAATGTTCCCTTGCCGGGATTTAATTATTTAATTGTTGTTCCCTTGCCGGAATTTAATTGTTTAATTGTTGTTCCCTTGCCGGGATTCCTATATGTTCTTGTTTATTTCCCTTGCCCTTGTTTGTGATTATTGTTTGGGTGAGGAAGAGTGTTAAAGCACGAAGGGTGATGCGTGCATTGTTTGCTATTGTGAGGAAAGAGTGTAAAGCACGAAGGGTGATGCCGTGCCGCACGATGTACCATTCCGTG